GTGTAACACAAACTCCCTAACAATTGATATAATTTTTTGAGACAATGATGGGATAAAAATAAACAAAGATATATAATAAGGATGTTTTCGAAGCATTATAGATATTTTCAACGCACGAAAATAGAAGCGTAAATATTATTTTCAAAAAGAACTTTCTGACAAAATTAATCGGTTTTATCGTCTTATCACATCGTGACAATAAAAATTTTCATATACACAATCATAAATACATTTAGGTATTCCTGTAAAGTTATTCATACATATACATGCGTTCTTAGAATATTCAAATGCAAAAAAGGGAAATATTATGTAGGATTCTTTCTTCCATATTCTGCTTTTCAAGAAGTTTCAAATTTATCGCATTTTTCAATAGAATATATTACAATATATTAAATATAATATATCAATTATAATATATTAAATTATAATATATTAAATTCACACACACACACACACACACACACACACACACACACAAATGTACGCAAATATGCGTATCTCGAATGAACCTATATTTTTAAAGAATGCAAAAGAATAAAGTTATTTATTAAATTCGATCTAAGAGTTTTCTCGTAACAGTAAGCCTATTTAGGCCTCATATAAATAATACCTTACAAACTATTACTTTCGCAAAAATTAAATTAGCAACTGTTTAATAAAGATATAGTGTGTAATAAATTAAGAATATTACAAAAATTAAAGTATACCTGTAAAATTATAGAAATCAGTATAATATCTGTAGTAAAAATTTAAAAATTATAACAGCTTTTTGCACTGATAAAAATTGAATGTTACACGTTTAACGTTTCAACCAACTTCTATAAGAAGCAAAAGAAACAGTTAATATTTCCAGTTATAAGATCTTGTCGCTTAACAGTTAGTTAAAATGCAAATTCCTCGTGTCGTCGATGGAAATATAAAAGTTGATATCAGTTGTCCTGGGAGAATATAAATATATTTTACTGATATTCCCGAAGTCGAATATTCTCAAGATATATTCGACTGTCGACGTTATATCGTTTGTTATATCGTTTTTCGAATCAGGCCAAAATGATGAGCAATAAAGTCCCAGACGAGGTATCTGTTTTCCGATGGAAAACCAAAGATTGCGCCCGATAGATAGACTGATTCGAGCAAGTGTTCGATTGCAGACGGGGGAAGTCCTCGACGTTGTCGAGGATTTGGGGCACGCCAGGTGTCAAAGGCCACGACGCGACGCCAAAATCGATGCTGCGCGAAGAACGGAAACAGGAGGAGGTCTCTGACGCAGCATTTTATATTCGTGTTTTCTAATTAATGTTTAGCTCTTGATAGTGAACAAACGTACGTAAATTCATGTTTTTTACAAATCGTTTCGTAAGAAATGACGAACCGATTCAAAAACGTGTTCGTAATTGCGGAATGTAAGAAGTAATGTCGCTCTGCTCGAACGGAAGTGCAGAATACTCACACAGAGAAATGGTAGACAAAACACAGCCAACCACCGGGATGTTCGAGGAATACGTAGAGGCGCTCCTGAAAAGTCTTGCCCCTCTTATGATGGAACACGTACTTGGCCTTGAAGGCTTGATCGATCGGCAGATAGATCGGGTAGTAAGGATCGGGTACGCCGGTCTGGTCAGGACTCGGCGGTTCCTCCTCGGCCCCAGCAACGTCATCATCAACGATGTCCTCCTTGCTCTTTTTGCGACGATATTTCCGTTTCATGGGCGTCGGCACCCGCTTATGATGCGCCTCGCCGAAGCGCGGCGAACGGAAGCGACGTAAGAAAGTGAAACGGCGCGCGGGTGAATGCGATTCCTCCGCGTTCGCGCCGTTGTCTTCGGTGTCCTCGGTCTCACTGCCGGGCGTCTTCAACGCGGTATCTTCCGCCTCAAGACCCTGCTCGGCCACGAGCTCGTCTTCGCTACCCTGAAGGGCAGCGTAGGCGGTCGCGGCGCTGCACCGCTTTTCGGCGTGCCTAGAGCATTGGTCCTTGCTTCGTGGAAGACTCTCGTTGTCACCTGGGCATTTCCGGGATTGACATTGGGGCCAGGCTTGGAAATCAGAGGTCGCGCCGCGATTACGACACCGACTCGTCGCTCGGTCCTTGAGGCTCGAGAGATTCGCGCGCGATAAAATGTATCACTTTTCTCATTCAAATTGAGGATCGTTTGCTCACGCGTCGCGAAGCAGAAAAGCAGTTTTAACTGTTACGTATATAATATACTCGTAATATCAACGACATCATTATTTCGAAATCTGCACGAATGGATAATTTGATTTTACAATTTTTCAGATGGTCGCCAATGAGAGAATTCAATTGATGAACCTCAGATGAATTACCGACAATAAATATTGTAGATAGATCAGTCATCGTGCGGGGATTATCAAATATTTGACGCGGCCAGAAGCATTTGCAATTCTAACCACTGGAGAACCACGGAGTAATATTCCATCCTGTAATGCGCACGAAAATCCGCCAGCGATCAAGAAGCTTATTTGCGAAATAGGATCGATAAGAACATCTGTTATTAAATGCATTCCTCTATAAATATATAATAAAACATTTTAGAGAGTGAAAATTAACAATTAAGTGATTTAAACGGTACTTTGGTTCTCTAATTCTGTGTTTATATTAAATCAGAAAATTTTTATTTCTTTTATATTTTGTGTTTTGTCTTTTTATATCTTATAGGACCATATATATGTATGTGTAAGAAACATAACCTGCAGAAATCAATGTCCGGTCTAGTTGGATCTGAAGTGTATGATTCTGTGTAAATTTGTCTACTACGTAAAATGCGCGCCGAAATGATTTTTCAGTCTTGAAACGCAAACTCTACTAAACTACTGCAATAATATCACAAATTAAATTGAATAGCAATGTAACAATTTAATGCTTTTTCTCGGACTGCCGGCTGAGGTAATATTTTTCGCAATAAGAATTAATTATTTACAAATTTTTATGTGTCATCCAGCATTATTAAGATCGTTCTAAGATGCAAAAAAGTATCAAATTGTTAAATTGCTAATCAATTTGACTCGTGATGTTACTGCGGTAGTTTAGTAGAGTTTGCGTTTCAAGACCGAAAAATCATTTCGACATGCATTTTAAAGGACTACATACGTTGTACATAAATTCGTACAAAATCACACAAGCACTTAAGATCTAACTAAACCGTTTAAAGTATTGATTTCTATATTTTATCTTTTATTTAAAAAAAAACAGCCATTATTTAATTTACATGTATTTACGCGAAATATTTTTGTATCATTTTATTAAACAAGTTTAGTGCTGTATATTAATATATAGAATAAAAATATTTTCATTACAATTGTCATCATTTTCAAGTTTTACATTTAATAGTCGCAAAAAGAGTGCTTGTTTTAAAAGATGAAGTAGCAAGCACAATTACCGCAGTTCCAAGTTTTTCACTCAACTTTTTTTGAAATGAATGACTTGTAAAAGTTTCCTATTCCTAATGGCAAACGGCAAGATTGAAAAACCGAGAAGATCATGCCAAAAAAGAAAAGAACCATTTGGTTGCAATGTCTTGTACGAAAAATAGAAGAGATGCATTTAATATTAAAAAGAGTACCTGCCGCGATTAACATTGATAATGGAATAACGAAACATCAATGTAGTACATATATGCGTTTTTCTCACGTCTTTCCATATTACGGTTGTCGTATCAGCGACTGTATAAGCAGCCTCTGTACAAAGGTCAATAGCGCGCACATACTTTAATCGATCTCATAAATATTAAAGTGTTCCAATGCATTAAAAATTGTTATATTCAGAAAATATTTACATCATTAGTTACTCAGAATAAAATCGTCAATTTTATTTCTCAGCAAAAAAGTCGCGAGTTTATTTTTATGAAAAAAATTGACTATTAAAATATTAACTGTTCATACGATTTTCATTATCACGATTTTAACACCTTGCAAAGAGGATTACTGATAATTACACACAAAATATTATACTACAGTATGATGTAGCATTATAACATATATATAATATCTATCCTGCATACGACAGGACAGAGAAGAGTGGAATTATCGGGAAGGCGGAACAATAGAAACCACAAATCCGACTCGCGTGCTTGTACATTAACGCGAATGAATTGTCTGTAGAGCTCTATTTATAAAAGCGTCCACATCTTTCGTCGTTTCTCTCTTCCTTTCAGACGATGAGACATTAAAAACTCCGTCACATGAACATGATTCAATCGCGTCGCAAATCGAGCCTCGAGTATCGAGCTAAGAGACACTGTCATATCTCCCCCCCCTCTTTCTCTCTCTCTCTCTCTCTCTCTCTCTCTCTCTCTCTCCCTCTCCCTCTCCCTCTCTCTAATCGAGCAAAAGCCTCTCTGTTAAGCCACGCGAAAATTCACGAGCTAGCGAATTCTCGTTTCCGGCTAAAAGGAATATATCTAATATTCGTCTGTCACGCGCAAAAATATATGCATACGTGTTGCATACGTCGTTACCGTCGCTTTAGTCATGTTGCGTTTTCCTTTTACACGCATTTTGCAACAAATGGTCTGTTTCATATTACTACGACGTTCATATTGCTGTATGCGACGTTTTCATTAATTCAGAAAGATACATAAATTAACACCGCGGAATACGTACGAGTTCTCTTTAACGAAAAGCCACTGAAAGAAATTTTTAATTAATACAATTTTACACGGCTCTCAAATTGCTCCTATAAATGGTCCGAAGAGCGTAATATATAACATAATACTAGAAAATGCAAAACAGTAATTGCATTTAAATGAATAGTTATATAAATATGTATAGCATTTTTTATTCGTAACAAATTTAATCTTTCGGTTTTCTTTTTAACGTTTAATTTAAAACTGATTTATATTTCATCTACGTATAGTATAATATCAATTATTCTCTCTCTCTCTCTCTCTCTCTCTCTCTCGCTTCCGTATGTATATTATGTTAACTCTAGTATTTTAACTGAGAGATTCTTTATTTCCTTCACAGAACTAATTGGAATTTAGAGAGAGAGAGAGAGAGAGAGAGAGAGAGAGAGAGAGAATTTCAGTTAATCATAGTCGATTCGCTAACCACATTGACAAAACGACCGACAAACCGCGGTATAAATATTCCATGACGTGCAACAAATGCAACGTGACCCAGAACAGTGGTTATCCACGTCACGCTTTTTCGCGAGATTACTTAGGGTTGTGCGATAATATACACATATAACGAATACATGAATCACGCTGAAAATAACGAGAACGACGGTTTCAGTCTCGTATACCTAAATGACTGCACTTCCTATTATTTGGATGACCCTGGCAGTTAAAGTGACCCTGGGTGTGCGACTGATATGGATGTCGACACGGTTGTCGTTGCTGTTGCTGCTGTTGATTGATCGGCGACTTGAGGACACTCAAGACGAGGTCCTCGCGGGAAGGTACGATCCGCGTGATCTGTCGGCTTTGCCGGAAGAGAGTCTCCTGCTCGCCGCGATTCATCCTACAGCCAAGACGACGACGTTGGAGATAAAATCCTGGATACCACTCGCGTCTCCCCCGTCCTGGACCGCTACCTAGCATAACGGCGTGCAGCATCCCGGCTCCAACTTTCCGGCTGTGGTCGATGAGCGGCTCCTTGTCTGCCGGTCGATCGCCCGATCACGCGGCTTGTCCATGGTCCCCGAAAGTCACGAGTCACTGAAATCCTCGTTCACCGTAAAGACCGTCCTGGGATGTGAAATATTGCGTAGTACACTGTCGGAAGTTTAATAGTCTAGTCTCTTCGCAATACGTTTGTTCCTTCGTAAATTATTCATCAACGGCACAATTTGCTTTGTGTACCCCATCCTATCGCGTTAAAATTTTCATCGCTATCGGCACGAGAGAAAAAGAGAGATTCAACCGGTTGTATGATCCCATCACCTTTTCCCTCGTAAAAGGTTATTTCCTTCACGGCGCGGATATCGCCAATAGAATTATCCGACCTGGTCGTCGTCGACGAAATTGTTGATCGCGTCTAAGACGTAGCGCGATGTACGCTTCCGTATTCGTCATCATTAATTGCTGTTCTCGGAAACGCTCGTCGAAGTTCTCGACAACGATACGGACAAGTTTCCAATTTTCAGCGGACATTGAATTGTCTTCAAAGTTGCCTTTCACACGTTCGCGCTCTCATTATTGGCGTTCATCGTTTACGAATTCGTGTCCTCGTGAACCAATGTCCCGGTCCTTCCGTAAGTCTTACGGATCACCGCGTTTCCCTCGTTGGTTCTGCTCGACTTCACAGGATGAATCAACTCTCGTAACAGAATCACCCGTATGTGCCAAAGTTATTGCTTTCGAGAGACGTGAAACGATCGTGGATGTCAGATGCGGGTACTCGACAGCCGGGTTATGCATAATATGTCTGCGAGATGACGTGAGCTACTGAAACTTCTCAGGCAACTCGGAGAGGAGAATTTGGAAGTGCGCCATAAGCGAGAGGAAAGAAGAGACAGTAGCGGAGAAAGAGAAAGGGAGAGTGAAAGAAAGAGATAGAAAGAGATAGTATGAGAAAGTTGAGAAGGAAGGCAGACGGAAGGGTGAGAGATTCGGAAATCTCCTCGTTCTCTGGAAGATGGATGTCGAAGGCAAGCAGACTACTGGGACCTCACGATCGATCTTACCTACGGAAATCCTTCGAGTATTTATTCAGACTAATACGGTAATGAAATTCCGTCCCGTAATTCCCTCAAGTCTCCTTTCCATTCAAGTCTCTCTTTCTCCGCTCTGTAATAATCGTTGCTTAAGCTACGTCGCAAAATATATTTGCACCGTTCTTCTCAGCATCTCCGATGGTCTTGACGTTCATCGCCGTTTACGTTCACCGAGATCCTTTCCTTTCATCCACTTGTCGTTCTTCTTCCGATGGGTAAAACTGCTGAGAATTTTATCTCGTGATAAAAAGACTTTGTTTCATGCTTCTCTAAAATGTTCCGCACAATAACGCAACCGTGATAAGATCTACTGAGAATCTACTGTCTCCATTAAAATGTTACTTGCGTTCATATAGTACAACGAAATTTGTGAAAGCACTTGCAAGCACCGCTCGTAACTTTCTTACCAATGATTATCACTCGAAAAAATGTATTACTATTTTTTAGTCTTTCTTATTATTTGTTCGTACCGAATTTTCATCATTTTCATCTTAACAGAAAATAGAAGCCTTTCAACGATCAATGATTTTTCAATCCCAAAATTATTTCTTTATAAGTACGCATCGCCGATTCTTTCCGAGGAAACAAACCGATTAGCCGCAGAATAATGCTGCTTTCCTTAATACATTTTGTGATTGCTTCGATTATTGCTCTTAGGATGTAACGAAATCACAGAGGATCACTGATGTGTGTGCACAAGGGAATTGACGCGTCGTAGACAAACCTTAATCCTTCTTAACACCACCAAAGCCGCATTGGGAAAACTTTTAGCTGTCTAGCGGCTGCGAAAATAGAATCAACAATGTTTATCCTAACAACGTTTTCCGACACCCTCATACAACAGTAATGCCGCGAGATCCGACAACTCCGACGCGAGCATTGGCATGCCCGTGCCATGTTATTCACGCGCGATGCATTTTAAACACGTGTATAGTCTTGATTAAGTTTCGCGTCCAGCTAATTGCAATAATTTTGTCAAATCGCAGTAGATTCCAGAGCAGTATCGCGTGCCGAGCGGAAGCATCTACAGCCCTTCACGTTGCGCGACAAGATTGATCGCAGTTGACTTTTCAGGTTCCTCCTTTCCTCTTGATTCACTCACCCGGAAACTTACCCATTGCTCATATACGTTGCGATTAACAGTGAAATCATTTCTCGCACGCTGTGTTCATGATCTCGCAGATTTATCTTGCAATTAGCTCGAGTTAAAGCTCCACGCTAAAGAGCGATTAAATGGCACGGATTACTTGCACGCGCTCAACGAAATTGTCCAGAAGCTGCCTCCAGTACACACACGTGTGTATATATATATATATATATATATATACTGTCAAGTTTGCCGAGTTTGAAGAAAAAGGTAATTTACTCAAATAAACTCAAAGAAATTACTCCGCTTGCAGTCTTCGCGCGCAAAGTGTCGGTAGCTCAATTTCTTCAGCATTCCTCACGCCATATGACGAATAATTTTCTTTTCGAATGACGATTTCAATTATCATTTTTTCTCTATCAGTCAGAATGCATTCGTTTCTATCACACAAATCCCCCTTCGTAAGCCATTCATAAGTCTTCGATTATTATTTTATATATTTCAAGATTTTTTTAATGGTCTATCACACAATATATACGTTCACCATCACCGTGAGGTCAGCTGTGAAACAACCTTTCTCTCCTCACTGATGAACTCGCAAAAAGTATCTCTCTCTTTTTCTCTCCTTCTCCCTCTCCCTCTCCCTCCCTCTCTCTCTCCCTCCCCCTCTCTCCCTCTTCCTGTCTCTCTCTCCCTCTCTCTTTCTCTCTCTCTCTTTCTCTCTCTCTTTTTCTCTTTCGCTAAGATAATGAATAATGAACGTGTGATATTTAAACACACATGCACACACGGTCGCACGATTTAATTTACCGCACCCATTTGGAACAAGCAATTATCACGTAGCGTACCCGCGCCCCTCCCACGAACCGTTTCATCGAGATTTCCTCGCCATCAAAGAGCTGTGCGCCCGAGAAACGCAAAATACGAAAACCATCGGCGCGTTGTCAGAAATAAATCAGTAGCTGATTAAAGATCGGAGATAC